AGTTTGAAGCGATGGGTACTGTGTCCAAGTCCCGGTAAAAACACTACCACTCAATGGAGTATAGGTATATCCAGCAACTCCTAGATTCCACTGTTAGTCACCATTGAGGGAATAACATTAGGCTTTTACCCTCATCTACTACGTTATAAATATTTAAATAATATATAGCTATCATAAGCCTGCTATCCATTACAGATTTACATTCAAATAAATTTCCACTAAGTAACAGTACTATTCGAGTAGAACTTGATCACAGCTGTACATTATAGTTTTACAGCTCTTTCAACCAACTAAAGACATTGTAGTCACAGTATTGTATACTGAATGACATTTTGCATAAGAATCGTGGCTGGATTAAAATGAACTCAGTGACTAGTATCAACGTCAGTAAGCTGAAGAGAAACCGAAGTCTTCGTAAAATAAAAACTGCTAAGAGCTAAATGATTTTTTCACCAGTTATTGGCTACTAACGTTATCCTATATACCTGTTACCTTATAATTGTTGCCACATACGTCTTCAAATAAGTTAATCCTAAGCACAAGCTGACATAAACGCGTATTTTTCTAGGTACCTTGAAAGTATGACCTCATACTGAGTGTTAGGTGTGATGTTTATTTCTATACTAAGTATGGTACATATGTATAGCGAAGGGACTTCAGCATACCTAATTCGTTACAGAATATTGTAGACTGAAACAGCGTTCGTCAGCGTGGAAGATTAATGCAAAGGATCCTAACTTAATTTTCCTGTTCAATACAACGATATTTCAGCTAGGTACCAGGAGAAATGATTCAACGAAATGTCATTATGCACATATCAGTCAGTACTTCATTACGAACAAGGTACATAGCATTCCTGAATGGTTGTCCAAGCTGCCACACCTCATATCAGCATATCAGGTAAAAATGGACTAAAGTGAATATTAAAGAAATGAAGATGAATGCAGTCAAGACTGATACAAAGTCATGAAAACAGAACAGGATGGGTTGAACAAATAATGAAATGCGGTACTACAAATAAGATGGAGATAATACATGGATACATTGTTACCACTGAGACTGATGCTCAGCCATATTAACTACAGTCCCAAACCGATGATTATTGTTACCACACAAACCCCGACTGAGATGTCAGTATTTTTCTACACGCCTCAGACTAACATTTTAAAAAAATCCAAAGAGTGATGCCATATTTTAGTCTGATTATCTCTAATCTGTTTCTTGCCCACACATATTTCAGCTAATATTGTGCAGTGAAGTAGAATGGTGACCACGCATGTGTAACACATATTTATGTTACCTCAATCGATGGATAAGTAGGACTTATTGTATGTCAGCATTGACACAAACGACTACTTAAAGTAAAATATACTCATGAATTTCTTGTACATGTATATTTGTCGTTATAGGTATTTTTGAATGTTTTATAGAAATAAAATTAAACATTTGTTTTTTTTCACAGCTGTATACTTATGATTTAATTATGCTGAATATTAGCTCTGCTGCCCTTCCTGATAATCTGAGCTGTTGAGTATTTTATGCGTCCAAACCTTTAAAGAAAGGGTACTTATCTGTCGTTTGGTCAGCCTTCAGGACTAGACCTCAGTAGCACGCCCCCATTCCACTCTCTTCTCTGCAGTCTTCAAAACCTGGCATCACGACTGCCCAAAAGCTTTCATTTCTTCCTCATATCATCTCATCCATACCACCCTCTCCTCGGATGCCCAACTAGTCGTTTCCACTTTGGATTTCACTCGACCAGCTATCCTGGCCTGGTGCGTGATGTCCCCAGTCAGCCTTCTCAGTGTATACCCAATCCAATCCATCTCCACTTTCTTCCTATGCATATTTGTTGGATGATAGGTTGTTGTTTCGTTGGTTCCTTGTTGCTTATTCTTATTATTCTGGCTATCTGATCTTCAGTATCGATCAAGCGTAGGCAGTTGTTGATGAATGTTTGCAGTTTGCTAGAAATGCCTTTCGTAAGGCGCCAAGTCTTTTAACCATCACACAGAAGCACTGACTCACTTGACTGATATTGGTGTTGAAAATCCGGATGTTGTTCACGCTTTATGCTGAGTGCAGTAGATCTTCACACTGGTTTCCGGTTATTGAAAGCCTGTGTTGCTTTTCCGATCCCGGTTTTGACTTCCTCGTCTATGCCTCCTGTAGTTGAAACGATGCTGACTAACAACGTGGGTAGGTGAAAGAGACAACTTCTTTTCAGTTTCTCCCGTTGATGGTGACTGGAGCTTGTGGTTGTTGGTGGTGTTGTTGGTTGGGTATCTTCATCACCACTGTCTTCTCTACATTCACTTGAAGTCCCATCTTCGCTGCCCTGCCTCGCCTCTTCTGTCATCTTGTTGATTTTTGCTTGTAGATCTTCGATTTTGTGAGACACTGAACATAACTGATCATCGGCGGCGAAGTCCAAATCATTTTCTAGGGTCTTATCATCAGTCCAGCCAGTGTATGCCCATCTTCTGGCTCCTTACGGTTTGCTGCATGATCCAGTCGACCACAATCTGGAAGATCATGGGTGATAGTAGACAGCCTCATCTTACACTAAACTACATGTAACCAGTTATTCTCGAGTGACTAATCAATGTAAATAGTTTAGTCTTACAGATGGCTAATCAATGCCTGGGTATGTCATCGCTAACTTCTGTAACTGTATTAATGGGTGACCCATATTCCAACCCCAGTGAGGGCATCACTCCCTACGAGACTGCAGATAAGCCTTGCTGACGAGTGCCAACAAGCGAAAAAACTAGAACAAGGAAGGCTTCCTACCACTTGCCCCCAACATCCGTCAAAAATAACCCGAAACTGACTCTTTCAAGCATGGTAGTTACATTGCACAACGATTGACAGGATTTACTTAACACCAAGGGAGTACATCTCCATTAAACATTCATTTCGTATTCTACATCCTTTTTTGGGATCAACAATGTCGAAAGCGATGAGAAAACCATCATTCTTTTCCTCATTTTTAATCTTTCGCCGTATAATTATTTTTCAGGTCATTATTCATCATTGATTCATAGACGCGTATGACAATAATAGCCATTCCAGTATTTTACAGTAGATATAAGAACTAGGATAATGTCATATTCCGAATCAAGAAATTCATATTCTGCACCGGTGCAAACTCTTTTTATGATAATCATTTCGTTGAGCTGAAAATATTTGAACTGTTATTGTGCACGAACTATTAACATCACTATGATGAAAAAATAGTTGGCTAAAATATCCTTTAGCAATGCACATTCCTTGTAACTTCTTAGATGCCTAGTTAATGCCATAATTACTGTATCAGGCCTAAACTAATTGAACAACATCGGAACTAGCTTTAGTCCACTCATTAAATGACACAATAGCTTACCAGTGACAACCTCAAAACCTCGTTTTCTCCTATTGTGGAAATTTTAAAATATGTTCCACTAAATCAGGTTATTGGTATGCAAAGAAACCGCTTGAACTCCATGATGAAAGATAGTAGTAGTCAACACAGAAAAGTTACTCAATTTCTCAACTATTTTTGAAATAATTCAGTCAGTGACCATTCCAACAAAATACCGATTTGATTGCTAAACAAGGTTCATCAGTGATATGTTTTGTGATGGATTTCATTGGATATTTGAAGCTCATGGGGTTGACCAAGTCGGATGTGGCAAAGAATACTCACTGCTGACATTCAGTAATGCAGAGACAGACAAGATCTAACTGGAACCTTCCACACAAGTGCATCAGATCAAGTTGCTACACTTCACACTAGTAGTACACAAAGAATAGGTGAACAGAAAAGGAGTGATTTCAAAGTAGACAAAGTTTTTAAGAGATAAAACAATTTGAATATGACGGTCAGTGCAAATATTCAAGCTTTAAGAGGGGTCGAGGAGTGAATACGTGTTCATCATTGTGACCGAGTTTTAGCCATATCACATAGCCATATCACGAGTTTCCAACCACTGATTTCTGTCGTCTCGGGAACTTCAAACGCTGAATGACAGTCACACAATATTATGAATTGACACAAAAAAGAAAATTCAGACCATCTGACTTCAGCCCATCTGTTGACTGGTTACGTGCTTTCATTGAATTGAGAGGCGATGGGCTCGGTTCCCTGCTCAATTGGTTTTAAACATTGCTAAGAAGGTCCAAACTATGACAAAGTACATGCTCAATGCTCTGCAGTTTTCAGTGGTCTTTTAACTGATATCAGTCCGCGCTGAAAATCGATCTTGAGGAGGCTTTTGATTGCTGATGCCAGTCTTCCAAAAATCTAGCTTCCATAACCCTAAACATTGAATCAGTCATCAGAATAATGGCTAGTTCGAAGACTCTTCATGTGAGTTTTATCCTACATGAAGTTTGTTAGCTATGTTTGTTTGCATGTAAGATGGTTGCAGTGTTTACACTATGACTCATACCCTCTCTATATTCACTTGAATACTAGATGGTTACTTACGAGGTTATTGAATCACTGAGACCAAATCCTTTACATCAGGTATCAATTACTGCTAAGTCTCTTCACTTCCCCGCTGTTCCTTTTACTGGACTGTGTTGATTCTACAATCTATGATTCAAATGTATGTTGGTTATATACAAATATTAAGTGTAATTGGAAAAAGAACCACAAATTAACAAACTGTTAAAGGCTTACATTAATAATTTCACAAGATTTTATTTCCTTTTTATTACTTTGTTCCATGGTTATAACTAACAGTATTACTAGTAGTATACATATGTGTATATATATTCCATTATTGCATTTAAACACCATGAATGAAATTGTTTTGGCTTCCTCAATGACTATGTGTGTACAAATATTGCTTGATGCACATATCTGTAAATTTTCCTTCTGTATTTATTCTCGTGTACGCATGTTTTTCTCAAATATTATTAAGCATTTCCATATTGCAATTATTATTTTTACTTTAAAACAGCTGTTCAGTTATTCGACCAGCTGACCAAAGAGTGCGTGTTAAACAAAAATATCACTTATGTATCACTGAAACTGATGCAGGATTGCTAGTACTACTTTTATTAATGATATCAGTAGTATTGGTCCTTGAGATAGTACTAGATGAAGGATGAGTATTAGTACTGGATAACTGTGTTCGAAACTTTTTATTAGGTAATGTATGATGCTTTTCATAGTTTAATCCTGTTAAACCGGCCGGTACACTTGCAATATGTTTGCGTGTCTCTGAGGAGATATTTTTTCGATCCTTAGTTTGTAGTGTGGCATATAAGTTACCGTGTAAAGGACATGGTGTATAAACAGAGGAATTCAGTTCATGAGTGGTTGTAATGTCACCGCCATCACTGCCATCATGGTTTGTTGTATTCGAAATTATACTTTTAATCTTACGATTTTTTGAACTTTCCACTAGTGACTGTTGTTGTTGTTGCTGATCAATGGTACCGCATAAATTCAAGTTGTTTAAAGAAGCAGCTAAATTAGAATTTTCAAGTGAACTGAGTTTATTATTGTTAGATAAGGAGATGAGATGAGTATCAGGTGTAATCTGCATAGTTGTGGTATCAACACCGTTAAGAGTGACGCCAAAACTGTTGGCACCAGCAGCAACTGTTTCTGGATTAGTTGATACTGGGTGTATAAATGCGTAATTATGTAAAGGACAATGCATGGATAGGTCACCACGTGTAGCAGTCGGTAATAGACGAACAGTAACATAATTTTCAAATCCTGGATCATGCGATTTGTGAGGTAATAAACAGTTGTCATCTACAACGCCTGTTTCAGTTCCACGTCGATAAGTATGGTTATCTATTTCGGATTTCGTCGGGAGTTTATCGGTTATTGGTGCATTTCCATCCATTGACGTAGGTACTCTAAGGTTTTGCACTTGAAGTGTGTAAGAACTCTTTGAATTGCTGATAATGTTTTTATCAGTATTACTACTGCAAGTGTTACTGTTCAAAGTCTCTGTTTCTTCTCCAATACCTTTTTTCGACTGATCTGATCTATTTTCATAAGTAGGCAAACCCTTACTGATGGATAATTTTGGCCGACAAAATTGTTTTTCATTGAAGAAATAGATCAGTAAACCCATTATTATCAAAAGGATTATTAGACAAGATGCAATTATTCCTGTATACTTTAGTACAAGTGTTGTGTCCAGTTTACTTATCCAATAAAATACACCATTATAATGATAACCTTCTTCAATACCTATACCTCCCTCCACTTGAACATTGAATGTTGTATTCGCATGCCCATAACCAGTGTCCAGATAACAGACATAAACTCCAGTATCTGAACTTTGAATATTTTCTATTGTCAGTTCAGCTAGAAAACTTCTTCCTTGACTCTGTTTTGATGTTATCCGTGGCCAATGATTTTGTATTTTTATCCCATCTTTATACCATACAACAATACCAGATGGATCAGCGAAAAATTTGCAAATCATTGTAGAATTAGATCCCCAAATTAATTTTAATTGTTGATCAGGTGTATATGCTTCAGGAGAACAATGAAAATCTGTACTACGTACAGCTTGTATACCAACATTATTAATTTGACTAAATATTGGACGTCCATGCAGTCCAATCGGTGATGCACATTTTGGCTGAAATATAGCATTCATTTCTGCTTGATAGTCTGATTTATGTCCATTTGTTAACCAATTATTCGCTTCTACATCAATACTGCTACGTAATATTGCTTCGTTAATTGGCTTAGAATAAATTAACTTTGAACCATGCTTTAGAAACCATATTTTTAACCATCTTAAATGACAATCACATCTCCAAGGATTACCATGTAGATATAATTCTTGTAATTGCATTTGACTAAATATCTGTTCATAAGAATCAGGTAAGCTCTCCATATGATTATTACTTAAATCTAATAATTGTAGTTTGTACAAACCATATAAACTTTCAGTATTCAAATGGAAATCAGTTGAACAACCCGATAGAACAATTGAACGTAAAGTTTTACCAACAGGTAAAAAAAGTGATTTGGTATATTTCCAATTGGATTTTGCAGTAAATTAATATGTTGTAAAACTGAAAGACCATGTATCACATTTGGATGGAATGATTCGTAAGAAATTGATAAAAAATTATATCGTAAACTTAATGTTTGTAATTTGTTTAAATTAGTAAATGTATTAGGATGAATTACTTTAATTTTATTTGAATCTAAGTTTAAAAAGGTTAAATTTGGTAGATGGATAAATTGGCTAGCATTTAAATGTGTAATATCTTGATGATTCACTGTTAATTTAATTACTTCACTTGGTAAACTTAATGGGATTGTTTGAAAGTGTGTATTCAGCTTATCGCATATTGATTGACGCATTGAATAATCATCTCCAGCTACATATGTAACACAACCTTTAACTGAATATGCCCTTGGCATATGATTCATTAGGTGAATTAAAGTGTATACTATACAAAGAGTTAAAATTGATGAAGATGTTGATTCTGGTATTTTTGACATGAGATGAAAAATAACCTATTAGCATGGAATGAATTAATAATTATAATACAGAAAATTAAAAGATTTTTTTGCATCCGTTAGATATGCACTAAATGAATTTTGACAAGTAGTTTACCACAGTTAATTACATAATACAACAATAAAGAGAACTAGAGAAATTTAGATTATAACACCAAATCTTTTGTAATCACAATATATTGTCTTCATTTTACGTGCATGTTTATTTGTATATCACTTCAAAATGTATTTCAGTAGTATGATTATCAAAATCTTTTCAAATCGTAACAGTTGTTGAAGACAGTATCCATTAATACGCATGTGAATACATTTGAGACCACCACTGAAATTCACAAAATTAACTGAAATGTATCACTTGTCTGATATTTTATCTTAAGTTATTTATGTACAAGGGTGTGTGTGTATATCTTAACGTTTAGCTTTGTTTGTATCATAAGTTTTATTTTACTCGTTTCTGTGCATTATCTTATCGACAAATTATGTCATCAAATTCAGAATCCTCATCTTGATCATTAGACATCTGATGAAAATGCCAAATGCCACTAGATACGATGAATAAACAGCTGATAATGGTCAGAATTACTTATACAATCATCTTTCCGCTATTCATTGAACACGTCAAATAGCCAACAAGGTAGTCAGTTGTTTCCGTCAACGAACTAACTAATCACTCAGTCGGTTAGTCAGTCGATCAGTCATTAGATTGGTCATTCAGGAAGCGATTCACACCACATTATAAGCTTTTACACCAACCTTAGTTTTTTCGTTTTTGGAGAAAAAAAAGTGGAGAGAATGTTACGAAAACTGTCGCTATATATATATATATATATATATATATATATATATATATATATATACCCAAAACAAAACACCAATTGTCTTCTGATTATACTGAACTTCCCTTCGTCTTGATATGATTGGTTCATTTGGTTTATCTGGAAATTTAAGTGACATTTTGCATGATAGAAGTAGAAACAGAAGGCGTAAAAATTAGAATAGTTATGCAGCGTTTCCTTTCGAATAGCATGTAAGCTTTACTATGCATATGTATATATATATATATATATTTGTTGAAATAAATAATCTCCCTTCATGAATTAAACTGATACCATCACGGTGACAAGTTATCGTGAATACAGTTCAAACAACTAATCCACATACGTATGGCCAAGGCGCAATTACACTCAGTTTGGTAATAGACAAACTAATCTGCATACGGTTAAAACCTTTACGTTATTTGCTATGACGTTCCATTTATACTTTGTTTTGCGTAAATGTCGCTAAGGCAACTAATCTACGGTTGACACAAACGAACTAGAGTAATATAAAGCTAGGAAAACAGGATACGAAATAGTTGTTTTATTTGAAAAACGTAGTGGGATAGTTTTACCACATTAGTAGAGGAACCTGATCTTACTAGCTAACAAACAGATGCATAAAATCCGCTATGTGTTTTTGTGAGCATCTAGTTGTTTTTTGAAATCACTGTTCAAAAAGATATACTTAATTAAATCAGGGAATACAAATTTTTGTATACTAAATAATATTTCATCAGAGTTTTTTAACAAAGCACTCATATGTGCTACAAAAATTTTTATTTCACATCTATGCAAATTTCTATCAGTTCCCCTTGGATGAATGTGTTATTACATTGCTTGTTGCGATTAGTTCGTCGTCATCACCAATAACTGATGTCTCTGATAGCTTTTTCTGACCCACAGTACCAGTGTAAATTCTACCACGATCCATTTTTTATCGTCAATGCCTAAAATATCATTATCATTGATCAGGAGCGATTATTACCGGTGAATTCACCTAAGTGACAGCTGATCGGTTAGTTTGAATGTATGTAGTAGTGTACTGGACAGGATCTATCCATTTCTATACACTTTAATCACAGTCAATTAGCGTCAATAGACGTCATTCAAACAAAAGAAGTCAACCAATCATTTCATTCCAACCTCTTATTGCTTACTTTGATCTAAAGCATGAAGCTAGTCTCTCTGTTTATACAAATAATCTGTAGTTCGCAACATGATGTGTGAGTGTATTTGTCGTTTCCAAGTTGTGATCAGTGCTAAAAACATTATATATTGTTGTTCACTGGGCTAATTAGTGACAACACACTCTCTTATTTGACAGAAGTTTGAGTAGCCAACCGAATTGAATAAAACCAGTGATCTAAAAACCAATCGGTGACTGACGTAACTCGGAAGCCTAAGTGAATAATTTGCACATAATTAAGGGTGATATTTGGTTTGAGTTTCACATGAAACATAAACACATACTGGGATAGATGAAAGTAATTTCAACTGACTGGTAGCAAAATGAACGAAACCAGTCCCCAAGATTTTGAGGCTAATAACTAGCGAATACATTAGTTTCATAAAATGTAGTCCTCTGATTATGTAGGGAAAATTCAGACTATTAAGATACACTAACAAAAAAAGGATTTAATATTTATCAGTTAATGCACGTAGTTTATCATTGTTTTTTATACTGGACCTAACTGATCGGTCTCTGGTTGCACATGGATTCCTTTGGACGGATGCCTAAATACTGCCTCAAGTTTCATTCTGATGGCGTTTGATTAGTGATGACTGCTAGCCACCATGTGAACGACAAACATTTACTTGCAAGAATAGTGAGTGTCTCATTAAGCCATTCCGTTGGGTATATGCATCAAGGAGCAACTGGTCTGATGACAACATCCTAATTGCGCAACACACTCTAGTCTACTATTTTTAGGTTTCCGAAAATCCAATCCTGGTTCTTTATTCTTTGTCTACTAGGTTTCTCTAACTAGACCTTTTCATTGGAACGTAATCAGATAATTTAATAGATGAATTCGTTCTAGGTATTGGGATCTATTCTTGCGGGTGCACAAAAACTTATGAATGCCATCCAAAGCTACGCACTCATTTTATTTAGGTACTCAGTAATTTAAAACCTTACCTTTAATATGTAGTCGTTACCTTGTCAGCATTTTCCTTCGTGAATGAGACACAATAGGCTTGGATTCAGAATATAAATATTTAACTTTTCTAGTTCAATACAGGATAATTGCCTACATATGACTATCTTCCAGATAGAATCTGTATTAGTTGTCAAGTTTTATTCCTCTAGTCATGAATAATACCTAGTTACTCATCGGTTGGTTAATTCCTAGTTAAAAAGGTTTTCGCTCGGAATTGGTCACTCCACTACAGGTGGGTTTATATGACTTACTTGACTCTGGTATTCCTCTTACTTTTCCCATTCATTTGGCATTATATGTTGTAATTCACAAACGTTTACCGATGTTTCCGGTTCTATTTAGTTTTTTTCTTATTTCAGTTTGAACACCGATGGGATTAACTAAATACCTCACATTTATGACCACCACACTCCAACCCTGACTTTACATACTTATCGTACAGTTTTCTTGATGCTCACTCCCTATTATTGGCTTATATACATTGGAGATGAAGACACAAGAGTGATTAGAACTTGATATACATTTAAGGGATTGAATATTAAAATTCTACCCAGTGAATTTGAAAGGTACTTGATGACGCAACAAGTTAAGCGTACTACGAAGAACAACAATGAATCAACTAATGAAGCTTCCATTATCTTGACATTATTTGAGCTAAGTTATTACTTTAACTTGAAATCGTTTTCCTGTCCACAAGGCATTAGATACCAGCCACGCGATAAATTAGAACTCTACTAATTCGATATTTGCGTCTAAAAATTCCGCTGTTCCTTGAAGCGCAAAAGCAAAAACCCGTCAGAGTGAAGAATACAAGCATAAAAATATCATTTCATGAAGTCAGACTCCACTATTCAGATATTGTGTTAGTTAAAGCTGAAGATCTAATCAACAAAGGAGTTATAGCTATAATCACTCATTAGCAAGTTTGCAACTCTTGATAATGTCATCTTTGTAGTAATTCCTTATTAAAATCCAAGTTGGGTTAAGTGAAGAATAATTCTAACTATCTAAAACAATAAGAACACGTCCCCAAAAGGTTAACCTGAAAAGCACTACATGTTCGCACTTTATTTTGAATAACATAAATTTAGACTCACGTATATCATATGATGTCGTCAGGGGAAAACTCTATCTTCATCATGTTCAAAGGACATTTGATTAGGTATCCTATTTCACTGGTAATACACTACACGTTTTCGGGGGTTCCAGTGTTTCAGTGAGGAACAATGATCCTGAACAATTCTTGTCACGGAAAATAAACGTACTTCATTCGTTATTAAGAAATGTAGCATGGTTCACCATTCTGGTTATATTTTTAAGTAATTCTATTCTACATGTATTGATTGTATCAATAAGGTTAGCTTATGAGTTATACGAAGCACCAACACCTAAAATCAATTCTCATGGACAAGTTCCAACTTACTTGATTTAGAAATTCTAGTGTCAAGAACTGTAATGACTCACTGTTTAGGCATCGGTGAAGTTTATAAAAGGGAACAGAATCTTGCTTTTACAGAAGGAGAGTTGAGTTATTCCAAACCCTAACTGAAGTTCTATGAACTGTTATTTCTTATCAGTGGCTTATCTGAAACTGAACGATTGGTGTTTTCTGTCATATGAGCTGTTCGAATATTACTCACCAGTTGAATATATCTGTCCTTTAAAAAGCGTGCCAAAATTTGCATGACAGACGAAGTCAAAATAGCAGAATTTTATGCTGATCATATTATGATCGATAACTAAAGTTCATAGCTTGAGGAAGTTCTACTGCAACAAGTGAATGCAAGTGTTATTGGATACTAGGATAGACTGAAGTAATTATACAAAGAGCACATGCCTGAAAGGGAGAAATAATTAAGAACTAGTTACACTTAAAGTACACAATCACTTAAATGGTTATTTTGATATTTGAGATGAGTCACTGAAGTTTTGCTGATAAACCTTTAATTAATAAATATTAAATTCTGAAAGAGACAGTGAAAATTAATTAAATTCCACAATTCAT